CGGCCTCTCCACGCACAGCCGTGGTCTCAGGTAAGATCCACGCGGGTCGCGGCCGGGCCAGGCTGGGGAGTGGCGGCTAACGCCGGGTGTCGACGACCCGCGGGAAGACCTTGACCCTGCGACTCTGAGGAGCGACACGCAGCGTTTTAGACGCAGATGCAGGACGGTCACTGGAAGAATAGCCACGCGGCACCTTCCGTCTGCAAGAGGCTTGAGAGGAGAGATCCACGAGGGCCTCTCGCCCCCAGGGCACCGGCGGAACGAGCTAGGCAATAGCTAGGACGTTCGAGAAGGCTCGATGCGGCAGAGAGGCGAGTGCTGGAGTCGGTTTAAGGGGAGGGTAGAGAAAAGCACAAGCATCCCATAGAATCTGTAGCAGAAGGTCGTGGCCTCTCGCCCGCCAGTTGCGCCAATAATCTGAGCGCCTTAGCGCTTTGGGCTTGGGGCCTGTTTCTCCAACCTGCCCGCCCGGAAGTAAACAAGATTCATTTTACGAGCTGCTTTGCAGCCTCTTTTTCCTCAGATGGAATGTACCCTTCCCACTCCTCTCTCCCTCCGCTTCTCCTCTCCCTTTCTTCCAGCCTAAGCCAGGCTCCGGGATTACAGGCAACTCCTGCCATGGCTGTTAATCTTTCTTTTTTCGAGACAGGGTCTCACTGTGTAGCTCTGACTGTCCTGGAACTCACGCTGGCTTCTTCATCCCGATGCTGAGATTAAAGATGTGTGCCGCTACACCTACTCGTTCTTTCTTTTTTTAAATATATTTTTATTTTATGTGTATGGGTGGGTTTTTCCCCCTGCATATTTGTCTGTTTACTGCATGCATGCCTGGTGTCCACAGTGTCCAGAAGACACAATAGACCTTCTAGAACCGAAGTTACAGACAGTTGTGAGCCACAGACAGTCTGTGTGCTAGGAACTGAACTTGGGTCCTCTGCAAGAGCAGTGGGCGCTCTTAATCATCTTGCTTCCTTTTAAGCCTTCCGTATTTTGGGAGGGAGACAGCTATATATGCTGCTTGCATATCCTGTCTGTGTCTCAGCTTTTATTTATTCTCTTGACATTTTTGTACATGCATATAACGTATCTTGACTATATATACCCTGTCTCCCTCCCCTGCTCCTCCCAGGGCCACCCAAACATCCCACTCCCATTTTCAGTCCCCTTTTTTGTTGGGATGCTGACTGATTTCGCTGGCTTAGTCCTGTGCAGGTCTTACACAGGTGACCATGGCTGCAGCAAGTTCACGATGGGAGTGGTCTTGTCATGTCCAGAAGACAGTATTTCACATTGCTCTTTCCCATCCGTCTTCTGGCTCTTATGTTCTTTCTGTTCCCTCTTCCACTGTGTTCCCTGAGCCCGGGCTGTGTAGGGGTATTGACACACATGTCCCATTTAGGGATGAACACTCAACAGTCACTTCTTCTCAGCCCTTTGACCATTTATAAGTCTCTGCATTAACTGTAAGCAGATAGAGGTTTCCCTGACCACTAATCTATGGGTATAAACATAAATATTTAGCAGGTGGTTTGATACCATGTCTATTTTAGCAAAACCACATTAGTAGGTGCTTCGTTGGGTCCAATACGCTCCTTGGCTATGGGTTTTGGCCAGGTTTACAGTACCAGGCATGAATTTCTTCCTGTGGAGCAAGCCACAGATCCAGTCAGAAAGCAGTTGGTTACCTTGATGTCACTATTACACCATTGGACATACCTTGTCTGGCAGGTTATTTGTTATTGTAGCATGTAAGCTTCACTGCTAGGTAATGCCAGCAGTGCCTTTTCTCCTGAAGTGGGCTGTATACCACCTTCCAGCACTATGAAAACTAGCTAATAGGAAATTCCAGCTTGACTTCTGAGTCCTACAACCAAAGTCTATTGTGTCTTCAGGAGCAGGGCCTTATGATCTAGTTACATGGGCAGTCAAGAGCAGTGGCAATGGCCTATGCAGCATTGTCTCTAGACTGAGTACACCATCACAGTCAACCCACAAGTGAATCTGTTGGTTTTGACCACAAAATTTGTCTTAGTTTTCTTTGCTTCGTTGTCTCTACCCTGACTAACCTAAGACCAGGCCAGTTGATAAGATTTTGAGGGTGTATGTCAGCTTCCTGAGAATAGTCATGGGTGTAGACACATAGCTGGTGGGCTGACCTCCTGGGTGTCCTCTGTTCTCAGAAGGGCCCTCTCTGTTGTCACCCTCAGTCTTTCTGGAGCTTGAAGATGCTGAAAGAGCGTCTGGAAATGGCAGAAGATCTTCAGCAGCATATGGGTGCTCCAGTGGTGAAGCTGGAGAAGGAGCTGCCATGGGGCCGGGCAGGGGAGGACTCAAGTCCTGAGGCATTCCGGCTGAGGTTTCGGCAGTTCCGCTACCAAGAGGCCGCTGGTCCCCAGGAAGCCCTCAGGGAGCTCCAAGAGCTCTGTCGACGGTGGCTGAGGCCTGAGCTGCACACCAAGGAGCAGATCCTGGAGCTGCTGGTGCTGGAGCAGTTCCTCACTATCCTGCCCCGAGAGTTCTACACCTGGATCCGAGAACACAGCCCAGACAGCGGCAAGGCTCTGGCAGCCATGGTGGAGGACCTGATGGAGAGCACACCGGAGGCCAAGGCGGTGGGTGAGAAGAGGGTGTCCAGGCCTTGCGCGGTTGGTGTGGGAATCAAAGAGAGATTATGGAAGTGGTGGAAGTGGATCAGACATAGATAGAACCTGCTCCATCATCCCCCCAGCCCCTAAAGAGCTTTCTGGAAATGGCTGCAGTTTTAGCAAGAAGTGTCAGGTTGAGGAGATGACTCCATGGGTTAAGCACTTGCCATGCAAGCACCAGGACCTGAGTTCGGATCTCCAAGACCTATGTGAAAGCCACATGAGGTAGTGTGCATGTGTAATCCCAGTGGTGAGATGCAAGGTAGAGAGAGGAGAAGCCCCAGCAGTTTGCAGTTCAAGTAGCCAGGCATCCTCAACAGGAGTCAGCAAGAGACCCTGACATAAGGTAGAATGTGAGAACCAACACTGGAAGTTGTCCTCTGGTCTCCGCACATGCCTGTACTCATATATATGATCACACATGCACATCATATACACAGAATGGTTTTTTTGTTTTTTTTGTTTGTTTGTTTTTGAGAGCCATCTCTAGGGAACCTCCTGGTGAGCCTCAAATCCAATGAGAGCAGTTTTGATTGTTCCGGGTCCACTGTGAGCCCTGCATGCCCTTGGGGAAGAGGCTAGGCTAATGGCAGTGCTTCTGCCAGTGGCACCTGGGATTTAGCCACAACCCCACTCTGTCACCCTGGGATTCCTTATTCACCTTTAGGAACCTCTGCTCAGGCAAAACCAGACTTGTGGCTTCACGTTGTTACAGAAAAGCAGTTTTAGGAAGAGCAGAGTGGGGTGTATTAAAAAGCATTTTTTTAGGGGTTGGGGAGGTAGTTCAGTGGATGAAGCATTTGCTACGAAAGGACAAGAGCTGGAGTTTGGTTTCACAGCTCCCCAGTAAATGCTGGGTGGGCATGATGGTCCCCCTGTAGTCCACTCAGGAGATGGAGTTGGCATCCACTGAGTGAGCTGGCTAGACAGACAGTGAAATCAGCAAGCAAGAAATCAGGTGACAGACTTTTCCTAAGTACATTTAAGTCGCAGAGTGATAAAGGAAGACACCGAGGTCACCCATTGTCCTCTACATAGGCATGCACACGCACCCTCACGCATGCACAGATGGCACACATACCCGTGTCAAAAAAAAAAAAAAAGACACTGTAAATATCTTTTAAATTTTGATTTTATGTGTGTGGGTGTTTTGCCTGCAAGAATGTCTGTGCAGCATGTGCAATGCGGTGCCTCTAGGGTCCAGATCTCCTGGAACTGGAGTTAGAGCTAGTGATGAGCTGCCATGTGGATGCTTCAGATTGAACCCAGGTACTCTGGAAGAGCAGTCAGTGCTCTTAACCATTGAGCCATCTCTTCAGCCCTTAAATAAATACTTTAAGGCTGGGAGTTAATAGAGAGAGAGGTGCTCACATTTTGGCTCACTGTTTGTTTGGAAATTATGGTGGCAAGAGAGTGAGACAATTGGCTACACTACATCTACCTTCAGGAAGCAGTGATAAATGCTGGTGCTCCCCTCACTTTCTCCCTTTTGTTTGAAAGATTCAAACATTTACTTCTTATTGTGTGTCTCTGTGTTAAAATATGCACATATATCCGGGTAGCTACAGAGACTGGAAAAGGACATTGGATTCCTTGGAGCTAGAGCTACAAGTGGTTATGAGCTGCCTGGTGGGGGCACTAGGAACCAAACTTGGGTCCTCTGCCAAAGTAGTATGTGTTCTTGGCTGCCAAGCTCTCTCTCCAGCCCTCACTCTCTTTTGATTGATTGTAGGACCTCACCTCATGGGATAGTGCCGTCTGCATTTGGGGTGTGACTTCCCACCTCAGCTAACCAAATCTAGACACATATCCTCACAGATGTACCTAGAGGTTCGTCTCATGGGTAACACTGATTAAAAACTAGGTTAAAAACTAGGAGAAAGAAGAAAAGGGAATAGGCAGGGCCTCGTATCTGTCACTGCAAAGTTCCACTTTCTGTACTCATTCTGTTTCTCATTTGCTAGTTCACTTTGGGAGAGTTTAGCATTCTTCATGTGGAAGAAGTCAGCAGCTTCTCTTTCCTCTTCCTTCTACCCTGTCTCCCTTTCACCTCCCCCCCCCCATCCCTTCCCTCCTCTCCTTTCCCTCTCTTCTTTCTGTTCTTTTGTTCTTTTTTAAACAGGGTTTACTATATAGCCCTGATTGGCCTGCAAGTCACTAATTAGACTGTCTTTAACAGCCTCCTGGCAGGTCTCATTCTAATTGGTATGGGGATTCTTCTTAGGTTCCATGCCATGTCCAGGGAGAGCCGCTGGTCACCACAGCCCTTGGCGGAGGATCTTGGCAATCAGGCATCCATTTGGGACCAGTAGAAGTCAAACCTGAGTGGGGGATACTTCAGGGGGAAGGAGTTCAAAGCCTAGGCCCAGGCACTGCAGAACAGCTGAGCCAGGGCCCTGGAGACGGGACACAGGCCTTCCAGGAGCAAGGTAAGATGAGGATGGAAGGTGTCTTTCAGAAACTCAGCACTGAGCTAAGTAGTTACCGGTAAGGTATAATTCTGAATTTTTCGGGCTACCTCCTCTACCCCAGTAGGAAGCAGATGAAATGTTTTTTACACCTTGACTGGTTTTACAGGGCAGATCTAGAATCATGTTCTCTTAACATTTCTTCTCCTGTCCCCTCATAACCCTTCTAGAACCAGTAGGAACTATGCTGGTGATGTGGGAGACTTAGTTAATAAGTGGGGAGACAAGTCACACACCATGTGGGACACGTGAGACTTCGTTATTCCTGGGCCTCAGAAAGCTATCCTCTTGAGTATCTCAGGAGTGTGACTAACTCTGAGAGGACAGGGCTAGGACAGTCTTCTCAGCCAGAACAGGGTAGAGGACACCCAGACTCCTGGCTGTGGGTCATTGTCCTGGAACTCACTTTGTAGACCAGGCTGGCCTTGAACTCAGAGATTCACCTGCCTCTGCCTCCGGAGTGCTGGGATTAAAGGTGTGTACCACCACTGCCTGTCTCTGAAGTAATTCTTTGTGGTCTGTGGTTCTGAGATCATGTGTGTTGCAGTGGGGTGCTTTTGAATTGTCAGACAACAGCCCTGTTGCTTCTCTGTGTTCTGCTCAGCGCTGCCCATTCTTCATGCGGGTCCAGGTCTTCCCTCTGTGAGCACCAGAGACCAAGAGATTGCTGCTGGGTTCCTTGCAGCAACATCCCAGGTGAGCTAACATATCTGTTTGGGAGATTTTGCTGGTTTGTTTATTTTTTGAGATGGGGTCTTATGTAGCCCAGGCTAACCTCAAACTCAGAATGTAGCTGATAGGGCCAGAGAGATGGCTCAGCAGTTGAAAATGTTTCCTGTGTCCACAGAACACAATGTAGGCTTCCGGCATTCATGTCAGGTGGATCACAGCTTCCTGTAGTTCCAGCTTGGAGGAGCTGAGGCTCTTTTCTGGCCTCCCTGAGGGATGTACATGTCTGCCTCTCTCTCACACACACACACAAAGTAAATCATAAAAAAAAGTAGCTGAGGATATCTTTAATGTGTTCCCATATCCTGAGTGCTGTGCTGGGATTATGGGCGTGCAGCAGACACATGGTTTTGTGATTCTAAGGATGGAGCCCAGGGCTTTAGACGTGCTAGGCAAGCACTCTACCAGCCCATCCTTATCCCTAAGCACCATACTCCATTGTGCTTATTTAACATGGCTTTATTCCTTTTTTAAATTAAAATGTATTATTTATCCTCATTGTATGCATGTATATAAGGTGGATATGTGGGTGTCCGTGCCATTGCATGTGTGGAGGTCAGAGGACAATGATGTGGTGGTTTCTCTGCTTCCACCTCCTTGTGGGTTGTCAGGACAGTTCTTTCGAAAAGCCTTATGGTGGGGCTTAGGGGTGAGGCAGGTGGCACGGGCTTCCAGGTTCAAGCTTGAGGAGGGAGTACAGGTGACATCTGGATGCTGAGGTGGTGGGGACAAACAGAGCCACCATGCAGGATCAGAGCATGTTGGTCACCCTGCATTAAAGCTGTTGGGAGACGGTAGTTCTCCCAGCTCCTCCAGGGTCCAGTTCCTTCTGTCTTTGCTGTGCTTGAGCCTGTTTTTGAAGCTTCCCCAGCTTTTTAAAAAATGTATTTAGTGCATTTGTGGTGGGGATGCACCACAGTGTTCATGTAGAGCAGAGGACAGCTTGCTACAGTCAGTTCTCTTCCCACCAGTGCAGTTCTAGGAACTGAACTGAGGTCATCTTGCTTGGCAGCAAGCACCTTAACCCACTGAGCTAATTTACCAGCTCTGGGGTTCTTCCTTTTTTTTCTCTTCATTTATTTTTACTTTTTAGGTGTATAAATGTTTTGCCTACGTGTATGTGTGTGTATCACGCATGTGCCTGGTACACTCAGAGGCTAGGAGATGGCATCCAGTCCCCAGGAACTGTAGTTACAGGCAGTTAGTAACTGTCATGTGGGTACTGGGAACTGAACCCCAGTCTTCTGCAGAAGCAGCTTTCTTTACAGCAGTGTCCTGTTGTTTCAGGGACTGGGGCCATTTAAAGACATGGCTCTGGCTTTTCCTGAGGAGGAATGGAGGCACGTGGCCCCAGCTCAGATTGACTGCTTCGGGGAATATGTGGAATCACAGGACTGTGGGGTCCTTCCAGGTAAGGAAGGTGAGAAGGGAGTTTTGGAAGCTGCAGTTTAAAGAGTCTTGTCCTAGCCGTGGTGCTGCTGACAGGATAGTGTGGTAGTGTGGTTGAGTCTTGCAGAAGTGTGCCCATGACTGACGGGCATCGAGGACTGGAGAGAAAGGAAAGGAGCAGAAGAGGAGCATTTGACCTGGTTCACCCAGCAGATGGCTACCGACCAGCCACTGAGGCAGGCCTGTGTGACAGCCGTGTGTGTGTGTGTGTGTGTGTGTGTGTGTGTGTGTGTGTGTGT